ATTATTATAAATCGATGCTTTTCACGGAAAAACATGAACAATGTATTTTTTCCCCTTTTTTGCTAGCAAATGTCGTATGAAGGAGCAGTCCATTAATTTATTGATCTACATAATAAAATAACAAATGAAAACGTTTCTGTAGTAACAATACACGATCTTTGTCATTATTTGTATTAATTTAATTGTTATGGGTAGGGTAGCATGGAGGGCAACGGATAGCGTGATTTTTGTATGCCTTTGCGGTATTTTATAATAAATTAGCTGTAGATAACTGTTATACTATAATATTAAATTTATTTTGAATATAGTAATATCTATCGGAATAGTCTTAAAAAAAGTTTGCCATGAATTATATTTTTTCAAAAAATAATCTATCACTTATGTGGACAACTTTTTCGATTCGTATATTCTACAATTCTTTTACATTGCTTCTATTATTTACTCTTAAGTTTGGGGGTGAAACCACTGCCATAATTTTATGTTTTTATTTTTTTGGACATCTCATCGCTATTAGTTAAAACATATTTTGGTGTTAAAATTTGTAATGGATATCAAACCGTTTACGAGAAATTTCACTTTAAAAATGGGTCATTTTGTGATTAGGATGGGTAATAGTGGAGCATAATTTGTGTGGTGGCGTAGTAATGCAACATTTTAGAAAATACCAACATGATTCCAAAAAGTTTTCGCTGCAAAAGTCAATTTTGAAAAAAAAAAAAATAATAATAAATAAGTATTTCACGTGTGAAATCGACTATAGTATACAATTTGGAAAACCCTGTATTATTATTACGCATTACAATTATTATCTAGACGTCATAGCAACCGCACGATTCTTCCCGGTGATAGTGCAGTAGATAATATTATACGCCAGTCGCCCCATAGCCGCATAGCGTCACGTAGTACGACTTTTATTATAAAGGCGGCGGTGGATTTAAGGGCTACGGGGTTTGCGGTTCACACATCTCCTCCAACCCCCCCCCCCGAAGCGGGGAGGAAACAATTATACAATATTATTATTATTGACCTTGCGTCGGTTGTTGTGCAATGCGCCTCGGCAATGTCCACGTATACCGTCTAGATTAAAATCTGCATTCCCCATAGTATTCGCGCGCGCGGAGATGCGGTCCAATTAATAATTTCGTAGGCGATACATATAAAACGACACGCGTAACAACAACGATGAAAACGGAGAGAGGAAAAAAAATAGTTAGTTAATATACGCGCGCTTGTGTGTGTAGAATCCGCCGGGGAAAACGGACACGGCGATAGAAACCGCACGGCCGGTTAAGTGAAAGGTCGACGACGACGGGGGTGTGAGGAAGGGCGGTTGATGGTGATAGGAGACGGGGGAGGACGAGTTGAAAGCATTATAACAAAGCAATAATAACGGCGGCAGCAGCGGCAACGGTCCCATTGTGCTTAAAAATCCAAAACCCTTTTGGACTGTTTCCAGAGCTTCGTGGCCGGTGGAAGCGCGGTGGCATTGTTTTAATGATTCAATTAACGTCAACCGCTGTTGAAAAAATAATTATAATAATATACCGCGTGTATGTATACACGCGCGTAAACGAGTACACGGAGACCGCGGGAAAGAATGTCTGACGCAGTAACCGGCAGCGGTGACGCGACGCGACGGGACACGGCGACCGTGCGGCGGAAACAAACGACGGGCAACAGCGGCGGCGCGCGCTCGTCGGTCGTACTTATTAGACACGGAAGCTGTCGCTTTGGTTCGAGTGTATGGTTTTACTCATATACCGGCGACGTAAACGGATCCGCCTATGTTGTCACGCTTCACGGGTATAACACCTACACGATAAATAATTCGCGACCGAGTACATTATTATTTTAGACGCTGGCTGCGGACGTGCTGCGGTTGTTCGTCAATCGCACTGAGTATTATTCGGGATCGATCCGACGATTTGTATCGCGCCAATCGTGGGCATACACAGAACGATTCACTAAGCGCGAACACATGATTTTGTTTGTTTGTTTAAATTTTGCATAGTTTGTTCAAATTCTGATTTTCGGAATTTTTAAATGTAGTTAAAGCCGATATTTTTGAATACTTAGATTTTTCGTGATTCACAAGAAGTATCCTGTGGCGAGACCGATTTTGTTTTTCAAACAAGAATCAATATTAAAAATTTCATGAATAGATGTAGAATTATTTCAAATACACTCCGGTCTTTACATTTTTACTTTAAATTTTGTGAAAAATCTAAGTATTCGAAAATAGTCACCAAATTAATTTAAATATTAAAATAAACTTATTTATCTATTTAGAAATCGATCGGTGATGTTGACCATCAGCAACCCATTACATTCAAATATCGATCGATGCCATTGATATAGGCCGTACTTAAAAGTGTTTCAGAATATCGAATATCGTTTATTACCAGCGTTTAAGGAAAATTAGAAATCCGTGCAGGGTTTCTATCCGCACTATGAATCGAAACAAGGAGGATGATCCCATAACAAACAACGAGACGATTATCCTGTTTAACGATCTTTGGATATTATATTGGTTATTATTATTCCAGTTGTCCAATATTATTATTATTATCACGATAAAAATGCTATTTTAATCCGGACGAATTGTGTCGTGAAAATGCGGTTTTAAAGGTACCTAATCGGTTTTAATGGCGGGACTGCTGTATAATACAAATCTATCGCAATAAGCTCGTTTCACAAACAATAAAAATAATTGGAAATTCACACCCGTGTGTTAACGACTGCTCGATACCTGCAGTTAATTCACACGGCCACGAGGTTTATATTGTAATAATTATATTAGATAAAGGTATTATTATTATTATTGTTAGCGTTGATTATGGATATTGAAAAAAACGAAAAAAGTGGGTTTATTTATTGTATTCAATACCAATATTCGTTTACCACTTGATAATCTAAAAAAAAAAAATATCGTGTGTTAAATTTGTTAAATTATTAAATTTAATTTACGAATATATAGTATTAACATTCTTTCATTCTCTATCACTAGTTTTTGACCTATAAAAACATTCCATCTCACACTCAATCGTTAGTTCTTCTTTATCTATTGCTTTATTTTTTCCGATAAAATTGTAGTATTAAGGTAAAGCACTGTTTAAAAGGTGTTTTAAGGAGTTAAGTATATTAAAAACAATAACTCTAGCTAATAATATGGACGAATCCTAAGATACCTGAGGTGAATAAATTGAAAAACTGGCTCGAAAAAAAATGATCAATATAGAATCATTAAACTCGCATCAGTTATTATATAAATAACATTTATTATGTATGAATTAAATACCTCGGTCTGCCCTAAATAACAATTATAGTGTACTTAATTAAATAATTAATAGTTAAATGACGATGTTAATATCGTCAGTAATTAATGAACCGAGTATGGGTTTTACATATTTTACACTTAATTAAGAAAAATATTTAATAGTTTTTTATTTGAATATGTGTTCGCTTTCTTATTTGAGCGAACATTTTTTTTACAGTAAATATAAATAGTAGGATTGGTTTTATTATTTTTTGTTTTGGCAGTTGTACTTGGTTGTCAAAAATAAAGTTGAACGTGATTTAGGTTTTATATGACTCTTATTAATTTTGTATTTTAACGAAAATCGTAAAATCGTAAAAATCATGGTATTTCAAAATATATTTAACTATACTTCGTTCAGAGTCATATTTCGTTAGCAATGAATTTCCTTTGCGTACAGATATCAATTAAATAACACTAAGTATCACAATATCTCACCTATAACAGAGACAAAACTATCAACTGCATGCACAGCTCTTTTTTTACAGTATTGTTCAAAATTAATTTCATTTAAAAAATATTGTTTTTAGTTTCTATGTTTCTACTTGTATGCTTAAAACTTCTACGAGTCTTAGTGTTTTATCAATATGACAACATTTTAACTAGTACCAAATACATATTTAAAATACTAAAATAACGTAAAAAAAACAACAAATAAATTTATCAAACTGTCATAAATAGTTTATACCATTTGATCTAATTCAATTATGTTTGAAAATTCTTCACTTAAAATTGTGTTTATTTCCAGAGTTTAACCGGCTGTCATCATTAAATAATTAAAAACATGGTTTTACTTTGTAGGGATAGCAAAAACCTATAGACTATACTATTATGGATCAGAAGTATTTACCAAAGGTATAATGTTACAGGCTCAAACCGCCTTGTAGATATTTGGTTTTGCAATTCATTTTTTGTCCGCTAGATTGGTTTAAACATGTTTTTACGATGATATTGGAACAGGGGTGTATTATACTGGTCATTTACACATATGTGCGTGAATAGAGACTATTCCCGACGGAAGAACAGGGATTTGGCTTGTACAAAAATACATATACCAACGTAAACAGTTATTATAGTCTCACAATATATTATAATTTATTATAATTTTGATTTAAAAGAATAAAGAAAAAAACTAAACGAGAGATTTATAGTTCTACAGGAAGAAGGCATTAACACTACGACAGTAGAATTATGGTATTTTTTCTTTTTAAGAAATGAAAGTCTATTAGCAATGTTGTATATAAAAGGTAAGTAAGTTTCGCAAAATATTATATATAGAGAAAAGCTACAATCTCACTTATTATTCATTTGTAGACCGGGCGCTCAACCTTTGCGGCCATAAAATACAACCTTTCAGCGTATATACGAGTACAGCGAGTGGAGCTGCAGATGATAATAAAATGGTTTCGTTAAAAGAGGCTCTCGGGCACATAATAAAAACCAGCTATACAGTACCTATATATATATATATATATGTATACTACAGTATATACAGACCAAGCAACTGACATTAATAATTCAATGAGTGGTGTGTATATACAGACAGTTTAAAGGAGGAAAAGATTTTTCGTTTTTTTTTTTTTATTATTTATTTTTTATTGCTTAGGATATTTTAATTCGATTGAACGTCTCTGGGGACGAAAACGTTCGAGTTTTATGGATGTTTCAATTAAATCTTGCACGTGAGATAGTTAAATTTTACGGTCACGAGACTATAATACAGAACCGCAGGAGTCGGTACTACGATATGCGACGACCCTCCAGGTAAAGGCGCGTTTATTATGATTAAACGTTGAGATTCCGTGTGCGTTCGCATAATATAATACCTACATACACATGAATATCGTATACATCGTATGTGTTATAATATTATATTGCATATGCGGTAGGTTATTTCCCGGGTTCTTAAGTTAAGTGAAAATGTGAAATTCACTCGAATTAATCGATATTGTAAACCCGCTTTGTAGAATGCAACGTTTCTCGATGATTATTATTTTACACAAAACAATGTATACGGCCGGATATAAAATGACCTCATATAATAAAGTCAAAGATATCCGACCGTGTTGAAGTACTTATAATAATTGTTATCACTCCCCCGCTGTGAAATCGTGTAATCTGGCCAAAGGTTGTGAATTTCTGGCAAAACAATCACTAAATATGTATAATTATATATTTTGTTGTTTTTGTTTAGTCCTTTAACACAAAAAAAAAAAAAAAATGTAAAAACGGATATGGAATTATTGCAATAGTTTTAAAATGATATATTTCATGTAAAAGTGTTTTGATTTTTTTTTTTTTTTTTAGAAGAATATAATTAATTTATATACTTTTTCGTATGCATATTTTATAAAATATTATTTCTCCCGTATTATATGTGAAACAATACGAAAAATATACTTTATGCAGACGCTATATTTTTTAAATTGTATTAACTACCAGCTGTGTTACCTGACTTAGCCTGTGCACAGTTTCGTAACGTAAAAAATACTGTTTATATATTGACGTACAACCGTGGATAAAACCATAGGTATAGTCATAGACTTATTAACTAATAGGCACTTACAGAGAGATATTATATGACGATATAAAGTGAAACAGGAATGAGATCATTTGGATCATTGGACAGTGCATTATACGTGAACATATCACCCGCTGTAAGCCATGCAGGAGATATAGAGAGTGAGAGAGAGAAAAAATATAGTTTAGTCATTGAGGTGAAATTTTTAATCTCATCGAATCAAAATATCCCCTCAAAAAAACTAGATCAAAATGTGCTATTACCTTTAGGCCATCTATTTCACTCTATATTGTCTTGATTTTCGTTAGGTAGGGAAATATGAGAAGGCAATATCTATAACTTATAAGTTGTATGTATTCATTATATATACGGGTATAATACGATTTACATCAGTGTTACCAAAATAACCCATAATTTGTTTTTCGTTATTATTTATAGAACATAACATTCATTTTTTTCCTTATAAATATTGACATCCACTTTTAATCCCATAGTGATTAAATTTTTTTAAATATTTTCTCAGTGGCTTCGTGCATTTTATAAGGAATCTTTAATCAAAATTTTAAATTTTTATATGCCCAGCAGTTCGAGCTGTGCGTTTTTGCTTTTGTATATTATATACATATTATACGATATTATAGATTACGAAAATGAAAAATAATATAGATAGCTTATATAATGTGATAATTCAATGTCGAACTGATACTAAAGTCACGAATCGTATCTACAATGCGGTTAACAGTGGAGTTGAACTTTTCGAATATAAGTGAAATAGTGTGTTCGAAATACAAAAATAAAATCCGAATATAACGTTATTTTTTTTGTCCCGACACATAGACCGCCGCCGGGCGAAATAGCCGTACACAAGACAATGATCGCTCAAAAATAAATACGCGAAACCATTAACATCTGGTTTTTATAATATAATAAAGAGAGTTGTATTTTTAAAATCCTTCTCTCTCAATTTCCGGCTTTTAATGTTAATAAATCCACTAGTCGAACCGTTTGCGGTAGCACAGTGTATATATTGTTCAAATGTTCAGTTCTTCAATGCCCCTCCCCCACTCTCGCTATTATAAACACAATTACAGTCATCCATTTCGGTGTTTAATTTGAAACCATTCGAATTTAATATATAATAGGATTGAAACTTATATTATACATCACGCTATTGTAGTGCCAAAAGCCATGGCCGTCAAGACCAGATTTTTGACCAGATATTTATTTATGTTGTATAGGTAATGATCCCAATCATCAGTCCGCAATGACTATAATATCGTTCAAAATGATAATGAGTCACGGGAATACATTTTACCAAAGTCAATTAATAAGTAAATATTTTCATCGTATAAAGCATTAAACAAAAACAATAATAATTTTACACTACAGCAGCAAAAACTAAAAATTCATTAATCTAACTATAGTATCGTTCACATTTTTGGAGATTGTACATCATAAAAAATAACCTAGCCTGGGTAAAAATTCCAGTGTCACTATAGTCGAATTTGTATTGTCAATAATATCGACAAAATCGTATGGTAACTACAAATATCTCCCGTTCAAAAATATCCACTGCTGTATTTTAATATTTTTTTTTTTTATCCTATGCACGGTTTTAATGATCATGATAATTTATTAATTTTATTAACAGTAATATTCAAATCTATAAATAATAATAGTTACAAGAGTAATATTTATCAATGAGATAAACATTACAATGTTGTTTACATAAAATACACTTTTAATTCACTCATAATCAGGTCTATCAATTAAATTCATATTTGTCTTGCACATTATTTATCTTTATCTTCGTCATTGGAATTATGTTTTCGGGGGTATTATACTGTTCCTACAGATCAGAGGTTTTCAAAACTCACACAACCATCACAAAAAACATCTGCTCGAACCCAGGCTTACTGCTATACTATAAAACATTTTTAATGTGCTTATAAACGATATGTATACTGTATATTAAACTTTTTATACATTTTTTTATATTTAAATTAAACACTATCGTCTATAGTAAATTTCGGAAAAATAATCATTAATTGTTTTTAAACAAAGTTTGATGTATATATATAATATTAATAAATAAATAATAAAAATAATAATAAACTATTTGATTGCATTTTTCGAGCATAATAAATTATGCTAATGAAGTTTTTTTTATTATACTACACTATCAAAAGTTCAGTAAGCTGGATTTCAATTATTCTCGCGAGAACATTGTAATTTATTTAAATGTATTGCTGCAATGTTTGAACTTTTTATGAGATAATATTGTTAAGTGCTCCTAAAAAACAATAATAATAATATTAGAATATACTATGATACTATATACTCGTAAATGGTTGGAACAAAATTACAAGTGTATGTTTTAAGTACGATCCATATTGATTATAATTGATTAAACATACAGTGTTCAGCAATTCAACAGAATTTATATCGCTAAAATTTTAAGTCTATAAATATAACCCGGTTATACATAATACGAGATTATAGTATTATACTCGTTACCAATTTCTCAATTTATTTGCGTTCAAAACGCATCAAAGAATATTATGAAATTAATTATATTTTTATTAATATTCCAAGATCATTCAAATTATAGATGTTTCTCCCTGTCTATCCCTATCGTTTATATTTTTTTTGAATCTCTTTATATGTATTTATTTCGGCATCTTCCATTATTATTATTATTATTATTTGATTCATAGCTTCCTTATTTTTACTGTATTTTTATCAATTATTCCTTAGATCTTAAGCGTGTTCTTGTTCCTAATTAATTATTGAGTGCCTGCCTTACGAACCCGATAAAAATACATTCTATAAAAAAAAGTACGTAAGTAATTATATTAAACTTAAGTTTATATGAAACGTTTTATATACATAAGTGGCTGATATGCTAAGTAAATTATATATTGGTTTACCCTTAGCATTATCGAACGTAGATCCAGGAAAAGCTAATGAAGGATGGGGTATTTTCAAAATTCGTATAAAACACAGAATCGCAATAAGCTTAATAATAAATCAAGCTAAGAGTATATTGGAGAGTGAATGGAGGAAGCAATCGCTCTCATGGCCCCCTTACCCCCCTTATTCACTATAAATATTAATGTATTAATTATGCTTCCGAATTTTTTAAATTTTTTTCTGACGTACAAACCCATATAAATATATAATATTATTTTTCTCAAATTGTCATCTGGTATTTTGTGTGGTGTTCCATGCAAAATATTATGTTAGTTAAACATATATTTTTCCTCGCGAATAGGAAAAAAAAATAAGAACAAGAATTTTTCAGTAGGTACCCACTTCGTAAATATAATTATTAAAAAATGTAAACAAATAAGGATGCTTAGATGTATGTTAATATTGTTTTGAACAGTTTTTTTTATTTTTAATAACTCGTATGTATTTTATTTTAATGAGTTACCCCCAATTAATTGAATTGTAAAACTATATTATTATATTAATAACATCGTTTTAATTTTATCAATAGAAATATAGATAGAACATCAATTGTGCACAGATAGTATTTATCACTGTTTTTAACTTAATTTTTTTTTCATCCTATTTATTCTCCGCTTAACAATGTAAGATCATAATATAATACAATTTTATAAATCTCGCGCACAGTTGTTTTAATTGATCTCGAAACATTTATATAAGAGATAAACATCTCTCGATTTGTTTATACTCATAAATTCTGTTTACAGATTAAAAAGAAATAAAATATTTCGAGAATAATATTTTATATAGTATTATGAACGCAAAACCCTTGATTCATTAAGTCAAATAACATTTCACTAAGGGTTTAATACGATGTCGTTAAACAGAATTTAAGTGCTTATGCAGACGAACATTAGCATACTCGTATATATTTACCGTTTTAAATTATACAAATGTAGGTTATTCACTAATTAATTATAAATATATAATAATATAATATGTACACAAGGTGCATATTTCTGACGCTTTGATTAAACGAGATCCAAAATTTTTAAATTTAAAAGGTTTTATGTAACTAATACATTCCTGGATCCACTCATAAACTAAAATCATTAGTTACAATAATATTTTTATTGCATAATTAAAATGTAAGGAAAAATAAATGGAAAACAACTGGTATTTTACGATTTTTCTAAAATATGCCTCAAAACGAAATATCCAGAAATATGCCAGTTTTATTTTATACAATCACAGGGCTTCCTTTTATAGAATTCCCGACACTCGAATGTGAATTCACAATTTGTAATGTAAATGATATTCAAATAAGTAGAGATGGGGATTTCGAAAACGAGCAGTTTATAGTTGGTGGAAAGTTTTGTTTTTATTTGTTTTAAAGAGAGAGAAAAAAACGGGACAATGGACAGCAGAATTAGGCAAAATAAAATGAAGACAAACAAAATCTGTAACAGAAGTTCATAAAAAAAAAAAAAACTCGAGCAACTTATTCCACAAATGGAAGTATATATAAGTTATTTAAAAAAATATCTGCATAATGAATGTAATTTCTTGTTCTCGGTTATATTTTAATACCGTAGGTATACTGCTTTAAAATTCCAATTACAACGTATTATTATAATAGCCAATGTTATTTTTTTTTGTTTTTAATAGGTACTTATATAGTGGCAAAGTTGAAAACTGGAGATTGTGATTGACAAAAAGCATATTATATATTATGTATGCGGAATTATTACATCGTAGTTGTGGTGAAAAAAAATATACGTTTAAATATTATATCGTTCCCAATTATTATTCTATTTAAACGATGATAGCGAAAATATTTAGTGCAATGTTATCTAAAACATAATCTGCGATTTTCGAATACGTCAACGAATAAAAATCCATTAAATTATTCTCTTGTTTTCCTTTTTCACCAATTCATTTTTGTTTTATTTTTTGTAAATAGAAAATTGAATAATATCATAATCAATAATCGCGGTTGTTTTAAAACATATTATAAAATCCAAATCATATTATTACTATTTATACTCTCTATTTAAAGTTGTTCTATTTGATGGAAAAAGAAAAGGTTTGTTTTCAGCGGAAAAGAGTCTCGCCCATTTAATGTATAGTATCGATTTAGCGTGATTTCGTCGGGTCATTTTACTATATAATTATTATGTTACCGTCGTTGTCGTCGTTCGTTCCTGGAGTTAATTTTAAACAGGTTCTACTATATTATAACAATATAACAGTGGGGATCAAACGATGGTGAGGGTGCAGTGAGGATTTCCGTGGCCTTTTTTCCTCTTAAATATTTATAATCATACGTATTGTATTACATACTATTATCTATATTAAAAGAAATAAAAAAATAATAGAATTGCAAATAATAATAACAATTATTGAAAAATCGGACTCGTGAAAAAATCAATTTAACCGCCACCTCATTATACTGTGCCTATAATGACAATATTATGTGTATTATTCAATAATATTTGTTCTTTATTTTTTTGTTCGAGAAATTTGTTTTCGGTAATTCATCCTCGAATATTTTCATAGCTATTAGACATTCGGTCCGTGGTTTATTGTACAGAAAGGACGCCCGTTTTAAAGCGTATACTTGAAAATGAACAATTTAAATCTCGACTAGTCGGCCCAGTTAACTCGTTAAGGCATAACGCCACCATATGGTAAGATTATTATAGTCATGTTTTAATGCGTTCTATTTTTAAACTGACTGGATTTTTCTGTAATCACGTTAATTCGTTTTGTTGTTAATGACCTTCCAATTATTTCGGCGTATAAATATTTACATTATGTTCATTTGTCTACGATATCTATTATCTATAGCATAAAAACCTAATTTAACATTAAAAAAAAAAAATCAAATGACGGGTAAATAATATAATATTTAAAATTATTTTTTTTTTGTACAAAACCAGCGGTAATTATTTCGATTTGATTTTGAAAACTACATAACATGTACGAAGGGAAAACGCACTAATTATTATTATTATTATTATCATCACCGTTCGGCGTCCTAAAATAAAACTCTTATAATAACTCTAATAATAATATATCGTCTACTAAACACACTTATAATATATAAATGTAATTTATTTTTCTTCGGGTTCCGAATGAAGTATATTTCTTTAAGTTATATTAACTGTATAATGATTTATAGCGAATTTTTGGTATCATATACATTGTAAAAATATATCGTTTGAGAAAATTAGTAATATTTATTTATTAGAATAATATTTCAGAATATACGCGAGTAATATAATTTACTCATATTTGTTTAAAATTATATTTTATCGTAATATCGTCAAACTTTCTCGAGATCCTCCGTGTAGATTATGAGTAAAATGCTTATTATGTTTGCAGCGCTCAAATAAAGTCTAAACTTTGCCTCTGTCAACCTATCCGTCGATAACAATTATTAAGTATTCGTATATAACTCCATATATAAAAAATATATTACTATCAAAATATTTAGTAGTATAGGTACATTAAAATGTAATTACATACGATTGAATTTTTCCTGTCAAATATACCTGTCTAATAAAATTCTCATCAAAATATGACAAAAACGACGAACCACAACTGCAAAGTTTCACACTTTAGCACTCCTCGTCTTTTTCTGTATCGAATGCATAGCATATGTGAACTAATTATATAAATGCATAAATCGAGTGTCGGTCTGGCCCATTCGACTATCCGGTGATCTCCAGGGCAAAAACTACAAAATGGGAAAATAAGAAAATAATATTTATAAGTAAATATTTAAATTCAAATTTAAAATTATTTTCTTGATCAAATATACCTTATTGGAATATTTTGTTTAATTGACATCACGGCTGTAGACACAAATAGTAGCTATGGTCAACAAACAATATAGAAGAGACACTCGATAAGCCGAACGATTTTTTTTTCTTGTATTCTAAAATATTATCCTAAGGAAACCTAATCCTTTAACCAAATTAAAAAGCGTGCTCTTATATTTTATAAAGTCTGTATACGTTATTTTATTTATATTAATTCAAATTCAACACAAAATAATTATCTTTAATAATATTAATAACATGTTTGTTACTCAGATTGGACACGGAAAAATAGATATGATATTGATTATTGTAAATTTAAAATAAAATTACTTGTTTAATGTTTATAGAAATGAAAAATTTAAAAAAAAATGTATTTTTGTAAAGGGGCCTATTGAAAATTATTGTGCCGGATGATTAAAATTAGGTAATTGTACTTGCAGTTAACTACTGCAGGCATAAACGCATATAATATTATCCGTTAGAAGATGTTTCATCGTAAATTATAGACGAGGAAATTCTTCAAAATTCTTTCTTACACCCGATAAAATTATTTTATAACTCGGTCGCGTGAAAACTTGCAGCTAAACTTGGTGTCTCGCTGTCAAAATGGCAATTCTCTATATACTCGTAAGTGCGAAGTTTTAAACCGCGGTAAAGCTATAAATGTACAATGAAATATCGCTAAACAACACTGTGATTAATCATCCGGTAGTTCTAGATTACGTAATAATACACATTTCATAGTAATAATATGTTAAAATCGGAGAGTTTGAAAATTATTGTCTTCGTATATAATATTGTACATTTCAATTAATCGCAGTTAGGCATCGTTCAATTAATATTCCTTATGTCCCTAATATAATTAAATTCTGAGGTTCACGGCGTAATTTGTCAAGAAATTTCCACAATTCATTAAAATTATCGTCATAAAACAAATTCATCACACATTTCAATAATCACGACTTATTAGGTCGTATCTTATAAATGCTATATTATCGGCGATTTTCTGATTTAAAAAGTAACAAAACCGCGATACTCTTACATATGTATTTTGTAACGTACTGACAGATCGGTAGGTAATTAAATTATATATATATATATATAATTTTTTTAAGTGGTCTGTTGACCTCGGTCGAATTACATGCCACAAAATGTGTTAACAACCAACAAATATAATAATATATTATGTTAAGTAAAATATATTTACTATAAACTACGTGAAACGGAGATTGGCGGGGATGGTATTACGAGACGGATCGTGTTTCTCGGTAAAGGGAAAAACGATAGCGAGCTTTTGCAGCGGAGGACCGATGCGGATAACCAAAGTTGGCAAGGGTCCACGGCGCGGCGGCGGTAGTTTTTTTCGGCGGTGGTGTTAATCGACGTCATCGGCGGCGGCGGCGTGCGGCGGTGGCATGGCTAGACAGTTGGGTGAAACACCGGGCGTTTTGCGGCCGCAGACGCGGTTTCGTTCGCCGTTTACATAGTATACACCGATACATAGTATATACATATTATATAATTACTAAAGGTAAGCGACTCTTGTATAACGACCGTTATTTGAAGTTCGAACGACGTCAAAACTTTAATAGTTTGATTAACGCATGGCGAATAATTGCGGGCGCTAAATAGTATTAGGTGCGGAAGTGGCTACAGTATATAACGTGTATAAATGTATACCTTTTCTCCTTTTTGACCTACCCTCCTCAAAAAAAAAAAAAAAAAACCTTATACAGAATACAGGAAATAATATGGCAGGTAAGGCAGTTCATTAGTATATTCCGAGGTGAATGCAGTAATAAAAATATATTCATACATACATCAAATTTGATCTTTGTATTTCTGTAAAAATCAATTTATTACTTAAAATTTAAACACAACTTCTACAATACAGCATTCTCAATTTAAAATAATATACAAAGTACGATATTTTACTATTAATTTTAAATAGACCTGTTGGATAACACATTAACTCATTACCCGACAACGATGATGAAAGCTACCTCCTGGCCCTTCTTGTATAGTAGGCAAAAAATTAAACTGTTTTAGCATAATAACTATTAACAATCATGTTGGATCGAATATGAAGAAGAAAATAAAATAAAAAATTTAACGGAAATCATGTGCACGCAAACGTTTAATTGGAAGGAAAAAACTTACCACTTGAGTTTTTGATGCACGAATTCACGATTAAGCGATAATGTTACAGAATAAAGTTTGGGAAATAAAAGCTCTATTACTGAACTTTAATTTACTAACAAAAATTCATTTTGCACATTTTTCAATAAAAACTTTAAAACACTTGTACAACATCACCCCGCCACCATGGAATTCGATCATATTTATTAAATCTGTTTACAAAAACTCTGAAACTTTTTCAATTTCTCTACACAGATATCAGATAAGTATAGGTCTTATACTATCGTAAAAAAAAAGAAAAAAACAATTTAATAAAATGTTTAACCATAAAATAAAACAAAGTACACTATACTGTATTTAAAGAATATGGTATGCAATGTGTATTGAATATCAATCAATCATTATTCAGAAATAAAATAAATAATTCAACAAGGATAGGTATTATATTATACTTTGTATACACACAATTCTCTACAGTGAAACTTTTTCATTTTTATTAATATCATAAACTGATTGAATTTGTGTTGATCGTGTATAGAAAATTATACGATAGTAATTATTATTATAATTAGGTATTTATAAGTTTAAATTTGTATTATAAAATGTTAATAAACAGCTTTGAGTGGAATTAATAAAACATTTATTACATTTATCACAGAATCTCGCACGATATTGAAAAAAAAAAATAATTATTTAATCATTAATTTACTTATAGATATCAGTGTATCTATGTTAACATTTTCAGCCAGGACTTTTTATTTTTTTAATTATAAAACACTGATACTTCTTCATTTATGGAGTCATAATAACATATTTATGAAGTTGAAAAACAAACAAATTATTTTTGACTAAGTTACAAACAATTTTTGCGAGATATTTGTTGAAGTAGTTAGTAGGCTAGGTAAAAATGAAATAAAAATCCATTCTTGTCAAATCCTTTTTGTCTAGTAGTGCTGCCAGTGAAACATTGGACTAACTCAATGATATTAAAAAAACTATTTTTGATCACGGCACACTGTGACTTTTTTTTACCAATGATTAAATTTTTGAATAAAATTAGAACAAATAAAAAAAAAGAGCTGATACTGGGAATGTGAGTGGCCACTGTTGTAGGTAAGAAGTTGGGAAGATAGGATGCATAAGGTTATTTCATTTATATCTGTAAGCAACGATCAACCATTGCTTGACGAAAGACGATTCCGAGCGCAATTAGGTAATACATAATTTAAAGTGCCGTAATTTTTTTTTTTTACGATTTTCGTTTAAATTTGATTTCAAAACGCTTATTAAAAATAAAAAAGTCGTCCAATGTTTTTAAAAATTTCACCACGTCTATTTAAGTTTAATATAAGTATTATTACCAAGTTTTAAGTCTCTACGTGTATTTGTAACCGAATTAAAACCAAAAAACTCTCAAAAATTAAAAGCATAAAAGTTTCGCAAAAGTTTTGGAAATGATACCCTAAGAAATAAAATCAAAAAATCAACAAAAAAGGTATCCTGTGATTTTTCAATTAACTTATTTTTTCTGGTAGAAAACGTCGTCCGTGTTTTTATAAAATAATGAAATCGTGAAATTGTACATTTTCTTACGTTTTTCCCACTTAAGTGCTTTTATTTAAAAAAATGACAAAAATCAAATGACATCTTTAAAATAAAATCTAGACAACTTGAGCTTTCAAAAAATGTACTACACTTGTACATTGGAGTAAGTTTACTGGGAAAAAAAGTGTCCACAGTCTAAAACAAAGAAAACAAAAAAAATTAAAAATAAACAGCATTGTAAATCCAATAGCTCCTTCGATACGCTCGGAATCTACAATGTATGAGTCATACTCAAACGAATCATAAGCAAATGAGTTTGCGACTTCATACTTAATAAGCAGATCACCGTAACCGGTGGTCCGTCACAATTTATGTGTCAAAAGACCACGGCATACTTAGTGAATGCTTGCGGCACACCAGTGTGCTGCTGCACCCAATTAATAAACCACTAGACTAACTAGATAATTATGACCCTAAAAAATTAGCGAATGATTGATAATAATATTTATAGTAATTTAAACTAGATAACCAACAAGATATGAAGTTTCTGTGGCTTTTCATAGTTTTGATAAGAACCTTATTTGTGGCCCATTTTTAACAACTGGTAACTATTCTATCTCTAACCATGGTCACGGGTTATTATTGGATTATCTGTATAAATACGTTAACTTATAAAAACCTGTTCTAAGATAATAGAGATCGATAAAGCCAGTGTTATAGGTAATTTAATATATATCTGTTAGCAATGATTAATCATTGCTAACAAAAAAAAAAAAACGATTCTTATCGGAATTCAGTTGATAGTGTTATTACTTTTTCAACAATATTATATACGAGTATGTAATGTCATGGAAAAATAATTACATATTATGTAGTTATTACTATTATTATTATTATGCTGTTAGTACTATTATTATTATTATTATTACTATTATACTATTACTATTATTATTACTATTAGGCAATAAATATTTTTTTTTAAATATTTGTTCAATATTGTACCTATTTTCTTGTTTTTCCTACGGTTTTCCCAGGGTTTTTCACGAATTTTCCATTTATTAGGAAAACTGATGAGAAAATTAAAAAAATGACTTCTCTAGAGTAACTCCCCTGTCAGATTTCTTTTTAGGAAAAGTGCTATCATTTTAAATCCAAGCAAAATTTCTGATAGAAAAGTTGTCCACAAAAAAAAAACTTAATATTTTCGTAAAATTAGATTTTGTACATGTTCTTGTTTTTCCTCCTTCTTTTCGGTTTTTCACATTTGATGAGAAAACTCCTAAGAAAATCGAAAAATGACCTGTTTAAATTACTTCTTAATACCGGTTTTCTTTCAGAAAAACGTGCTACATTTGAAAATCAGAGAAAAATTTCTGGTAGAAAAATTGAGTACAGATAAAAATAAAAATATATGAATAAAAATAAATATCTTTGTAAAACCATAAGCTTCTTCGCTCCACTCAGAATCTAAAACAAAGTCCCAAATTTTAAGTATCAGCTATTAAGAAGTTTTGACGGAAAAGTCAAACTCGAAAATGACTCGAAAATGCAATAAAATTGTTGAACACTGTTATTTTTAATCAAATAACACATATTATAATGGATTGATTCTATAAATGGTTCACTATGGTAAAAACTCTATTTTTTAAAAATTGTCTAAGTTGCCTGCTCGTATGAGTACGTCAACTCTTACTGGCGTCAAAAGTGTTAAAAACATAAACACCTACGAAACCATTTTTGTTGTTAATATATCTGGTAAAAAATTATTTACAAACACTAACAAGAAAAGAACACATAATATTATAGTAAATTCAATACGCACTGTCTTCATTACGATCAGAAATTAAAACTCGGATTATAAAGTGCATCGTAATTGTTTCAGGGCATGTTGTTTTTGTATTTTAACCCTTTAACCGCATAAAGTCAACATATAAAACATCGTTCGTAATTAATTACGTCGTTGTAACTTGAATAAACAACAAATCCTTAGTTTTCCATCAATTTAATAAGGTCAAAATGAATTAATTGTTATTTTTGCTTTTTTATTATTATAGGCTTCTTGTTTCTTTACTTTTGAATTTAATTGTATCTACTATTTTATTAGTTTAAATAAACTAATATTTTTTCTCCGAATTTAATCTTATTACGTGTCTTTGATTTGTCTTAAACAGTGACGTAGCCAAAGGCGGTAAGATTATAATCCCTTTCAAAAAGAAATTGTCTCATTCAATTACTTTCTAGTGTTCAAAAGGTACACATTTGTATTCATCAGATAATATTAAGTAATTAAAATGCTGTTTACTACACAAATAAAGCAATAAGTATACAATTATGCAATTTAAAAAAATTGACGTTTTTTATAATGAATTAGACATTAGAGGATTATAAAGCGAAGAATTTGTTTTCTTTAAGAGTCACTTTATTGTAGTAAAGGTAATTTTGGAAAGAGCCTATTATCTATGCAATATACTTATTATTTATAGAATTGAACTATTGGATATATATTACGTGCAAATCAAAAGACAATAACGGAAGAAAAAATAAACACAAGAATATTGGATCTAGGTTGTCTACAAAGTGATCACGGCCTACGGGTAAGCCGATTGTGGTGGCCGAAACCGTTGGCTCTAGAAATATTCTAGAACACGCGTAAGCGGATTTTAAAAGAAAACACGACCGTATTTTTCCACAGACTATGGGGTATTATCATTTTTTTTTTTATAGGATAAAGCTGATTTTTTCACTCTTTAATAATGGTTTTTTGACCATAAATATCACCATCGTTAGAACTATATGAAGTTCTATAAATCAATGGGACTTTCAAAACTAATATTTAAATAGCCGGATATATTATATTTTTTAGTATTTTTACTTGTTCAGTAAAATTTTAATAAATACACCATTTTTTTTTTCAGAACCATCGCATTAGGTATTTTTTTGTTTTTCAAACTATAAAATATAAATTTATTATTTTACGTTTTGGCAAAGTTTGCAAACTAATGGAGACTAGACTTTAATGAATTAGACTTATCGATATTCATAATTTTAATCTATCTTATATGAACAAAATGTTTGCTAACAGTAAAATATTGATAATATATAATACATAGAATTAAATAAAGCGACTGAATAAAAAATATTATTGAGATAGTTACGCGTAAGAACGTATAGTTAAGATGACGATAGTTAACGAATTTTCTAACCTAACGATGTTCCGATGAAAAATTATTCTCTTTACTATCTGCAGGATAATAGTTTTTAGGCCGTGGTATAGACCCATTTATAGTGTGAAACCTCTTCTACTGTTTCTGTTGGCCAATATCGTTCATAACGTGTCTAGGTGGGAGTGATGGATTCGGTATAGGACGTCTTACTACAGTCGAGAAACTATAAAAACCATAGTCCAATAATTAATAGGACACACAAAACTGCAGGGAAAAGGTATTTGACACGTTTTCGTGAAGATGAAAACTTAAATTAAGAATTTATGATTTATATTAGAAACTGTTAAAACTACAATATTATATTTATATAGGTATATTTAGGTACTTTCGGTGTGCATTCAGTATTAACGAACTACCGAGTTACATGAGTATCTTGGGCCTAGGTATGTTCAACGTATTTAAACAACACCAAAACAATAATATCACTATGTTATTTTACGAGTTTTTTTTTTTACTGTTGTCCATAAGTTTATTTTACAAAAATTGTTTTATAATAAATAACTCGTAACAAAATTGGAAAAAATCGCGATAGAATATTTATTATGCTAAATAACTTCATAAATTATTAAAAACCGAATTGTTTATAGTTGTATTTTATAATATCGGTCGCGCCATGAATGTCGTATATTATTATCATTGTAATCGTATTATTTATTTTTATTTTTAAATTGTATACTATACATAAACTCAAAAATGCACAGCTATTTTATAAACTATGTTTATTATAATAGTGTGTTACAAAAAATATTATTGCATTTGGTTATGAAAAAAGGTCAATATTTTATTTCATGTAAGAAAATTATTGTAACAAAAATTAATAACAATATATACAAGCACTTAAATCGAAAACTTCCAAAGTTAGTGAACAATAATATAAAGTGTTAATAAAACAATTAATAAACTCAAAAAACGAAATCACAATATTTTCATTATATTTTATTAATTTTACAAATATTTACCCCATAGTCATTTCGCCGTATTATATCATACTTGTAAAATAATAATCGTACTATTAATTAGGAATAGGCCAATACCACATTTTACCGATATCCGATATTTGAAATCGAATGGTATTAGAATTAACTGATATATTGGTTGAAAACTCAATTTATTTAAATTTTTTTTTTTACGTATTCCAGAAACATTACACACATTTTTTTCTAAAAATATCGTGTTAGAAAAAAACCGATGCCGATAAAACCAATATCATCTAAACTAATACTAATCGAGTATCGGTCCATCTCTAATAATAATATATAAAACGATAGGTGGTTTTAATTTGCGCACTGGCGCAGCTATACACATCACAGCGTCTCAAAGAAAAATATTTGTTTTGTCTTATAATAGAAAGACAAATTATATTGTATCACTAAAACAGTACTGTGATTGAATATTTGACTGGGTATTTATGGTTTTTTTTTCTTTGGAAAAGATGAAACCGACTACACCTTACCGCATTAGAAACGTTGCTTTAATTTTGAATTAAGTAAATTTACATTTACACCATACGTAGGTATTTATTTGTACTTTTTATCTATGAAATAATTTATTTTAAAATTGTTTAGTATTGTCATTGATTAAATAGTTATTCATTGTATATTTAATAACAAAATAAAAAAGTAAAAACAATATTATTAAAATGGTTAATACTCGTGAATAAATAAAGTAAGTAAAAATAGTAAATAAATATATACATTTTTTATTTATATATTTATTTACTTTATTTGTATATTTAATAGTTATAAATGTATAATATTATCAGTTGTATCAGTTTGCAACTACGGATAACACATGAATCGCAGTCACTTAAATTTGTATGAACAGCTAGCTAGTAGGTCTGCTTTACATGTACGTTTAAATTGATTCAATTTTAACAATAATTTGTTTATCAAATACTTGATAAAAACCATCGTCCCTATTACAATGTAGGCTCCCAAAAAATAAGTACGTCACAAGGCAACTACCTCGGTTGCCCCTGCACCGTTTATTAATTATAGATAGCTTTTTATTTAGATATTTCCCGTAAAAACATGAAATTTAAGCACACAATTGGTTGCATATGTGCGTTGAAAGTTAAAACTCCTAAAAAGTATACCTTCGATACTTCGTGCACGTATAAAATTTAACTCCCTGGCTTAATTTGGGGTTAAAGCTATAAAAACACCTAAACCTTAACAAAATGATAAAAATCATACCTATTTAAATTCCACCAAAATTTGAAATTGTTCACTTCAATCCAAAATAAAGCAACTCTAATTGATAAATTTGAGCTCATTTGGTCCTGAGAGAATCGCTAAAAGTATACAAAACTAGTGGGGAAAAAATATATTTAATATATGTATAACAGACAATTCAGGATAATAGTCTCTATTTTCGGATATTTTTTTTTGTATAACCGTACTTTTTTAATAAATAAAACATAAGTTCTCAATTGAATGGTATGCCCCTTCAGACGACAAAAAAGTTACATAATATAGGTACTTCCGTTTAAAATATCCGGTATCGCATAAAAAAAATAAGACGAACCTGACAAAAACTGAAACTTCCCCTCGCTTTTCTTCAATACTATACCTATAAATTCTATAGTGTAGGACAAACAAAATGCATAATGGTATGTCGAATTCAGTATGCCCGTCCGAGCAATGAATACAAAATGAAAACAGGATTGCAATAGAATATGTAACGAATATCCAAAAGTTTGTATATTGAAATTATAATACAAGTTATATACACAAGGTTTTAAAAGCCTTTTTCTAATTTCAAAAATTCATATTTATTGGTAAAAATAAAGGTACACTGATGAGATAAAGTGCAAAATATTCCTAACAATCTATACCTAACCATGCAATTTTAATTCGATAGTTTGCCTACAAATATAATTTCCATTAGACGTCTGCTATGTAATATAATACCAGTTATTTCCAACTTCTAACATTTTTAACAGTACCTACAGACCACTTGGTAAACATTCAATAGGCCGCGGACCACTTTAACTTGCTGATGAATTTTTATTATAATATAACTTTTGGATTTAACGGGTAATAATAACTTAAGTGATATTATGTACAGTGAGTTTATGAATAACTCTAACAACAAAAATCGTTAACGTTAAATACTATTTTCAATATTCGGAATATAAGTTAGGAACCTAAATGATCTATACGGTATTCATCGAAAACGTTACTGATCATAATGCGTGCCACGGTATTCACGGCCACGGCATCTCTGATCCGGGTTTTGTGCTCTTTCAGGTCTGTAGGTAATGGTGATACAAAAACTTCATCTTTTGCTCACAAGAGACATAATTATTAGGAACGAAAGTACAAATAAACCTAGTAAAAAGAAACTTTACTATTTTATATTTCTATTTGTGTATATGAGTGTTTTTTATGCAGCGATTTACGATTTCTGAATTAAAACGAAGATTCTAGAGACCTTTAAAGCACCGTGTATTATAATATTTTATTCGAAAAAATCTCAAAAACATATTTTTGAACAAACCGAAATGTAATCACGTTGGTCCGTTTGTAATATAAAATTGTAATCGTAAAACATGTAATATTACACCTGTACTTATTTTTTGAAAAAAAAAACATACATAAATATAGGTATCAACACAGAGCGTAACGTCGCATCTTCACCGATTAAGGAGAGACGTTCGCCGCGTTCGTCTTATTATTATTATTACTACAGCACATTGTGTTTAATTTCGCAGATTAAAAGCGTTCTCGCCGGTCTAATGTATACCACTGCTTTGTTTGCACGTGAAATAAAATCTTTTCGAGATTCCTATTTTCTCCACAGAAAAGCCCGTATAGTCTTACTGATCAAACAGAATGGGGATTTTAATCAATCTGCATCAGGCGAGAAGAAAACACTACGACGACGATGAAGGCGGTAAACTCTAGACAGCAGTCGCAGAGGGAGTAGGTACTACCTATTGAGTTTCTGTTACGTGATAGAGCGTTAATACTATCCCTTAAACGATGAGAGGAGGAGAAATGTAGTAGGGTGATTATAATATTATTATAGTTAAATGGTCAGTGGTATACATATTATTTGATATGAATCCTTCATTATTATTATTATTATTTTACATACATAATATTATTACACAATATACAATTTTGAGTTAAGCGCAGAAGCTTGTCGTTTTACTAAGAAGCGAATTTTTTTTTTCTCGGAAAACACTTTAGTGGTTATTAAAAATGCTCCAAATGACACGTTTAACATTTTCTATCGCATTCTAAAAGATATGATGATACGTCCTATTTATTTTAAATATATGTTTAGATTTTTAACATTTTTTATAGAAAATTAAAAATAGATAGATAAACGAAGATAGGAACATCGATTATATTTTTGTTGATTTCTATAGGGACGGGTGCAGCCATTGTTATAGGTAATTTAATGTATACCTGTAAGCAACGATAAACCATTTATAATAAAAAAAAACGATTCTGAGCGCAATTCAATTGATAGTAATGCTTTATCAACAATATATATGTCATATTATATTAAAATAAACAAACATACTATAGATATTTTCTTTAATAATATTAGTTCAATTTTATATCGATTTTCACGGTTTTCTTACGTTTATCCTGGTTTTTCACATTTGCTGGGAAAACTGTTGGGAAAATCGAAAAATGACTTCTCTAAAGTACCTCCCTAGTCGGGATTCCTTTTTAGAAAAATTGCTATTATTATAAATCAGAGCAAGATTTCTGGTAGAAGTATTGTGCATAGATAAAAAAAAATAAACATCTTTGTAAAACCATAAGCTTCTTCACTTCACTCAAATTGTAAAAAGAGCTGATACTGAGGACACGTGTGTCACTGTTGTAGATTGGCAGTTGGGAGGGTATAGAACACATAAATGTATTTAATTTACATCTATAAGTCACGATAAATCATTGTTAACGAAAAACGATTCGGAGCGAAGTTCGGTTGTACATATTTTGAAAGGCCGTAATAATTACAATTTTGGTCAAAATTTGATATTTAAATTCTTATGAAAAAAACTACATTAAACTCAATTTTCTTTTTTATCACCACAAAATACGAATTATAATGAACCTTTTGTTAAATTTTCAAGCATTTTATTTAAGTCTAACAATTCTATCCATACAGTACCTACTGAATAAAAATTTCGTAAAGAAAAAATCAAAATTAAAATACCTATGAATAGCTCAATAATGGTCAAATATTTTTAATCACATCTAGAAAAGGCCAATATAAGTTTTTTGTCAAATTTGTATATCCCTACGAATATTTTGAACTAAATTACATTAAATAAACAAAGTTGAAAATAATAAAACAATTTTTTTGTAAAGCGTCTCGTTCTTCTTACGTATTTTTCGGTTTTGCTCAATTATTAAAACAACTATAAAGAAAAAAAATCTTGGTCACCAAGAAGATTAAAGACTCAACAAAAAAGAGATCTCTTGATATTTTTCTATTGGAGCAATATCTATGGTAGATAACATTTTCTGTAAACATTTAAAATAATGGAATCATAAGGCCGTGTATTTATCAGTTTTAATTTTTCGTCTTTTTCCGGTTTTCCTAATTATTATGAATACTAATTGAAAAATTTAAACAAAAATTTCCTTTGAGAGCAACTAGATCTAAAATTAAACATTTAGTTTTAGGTATTTTTTAATAAAGCAATATTATAAATATGGTTCACCTGCTTTAAGTATTTGCCGGTTTACCTGTAATTTTGTTTCCGGTTTGTCTTGTCTTGATTATTATGAAAACCCTACAGAAAATTACCCTTCCCAATGCACTAGCTAGACACAATTTTTTTCAGAAAAGGATCAAAACTTGATACTTGGAAGCAAGATTTCTGGTAGAAAAGTTTCTTACAGACACAACAAATAACATAAACCTACATTTCTAATATCCAACTAGCAACAGTGATTGACCTACCCATGGAGTAAAATACGTAAATATTTTTTTTTTTAATACTAACAGAAACCCTCAAATAATAATATTATGTCCGACCTACAGATAACATTATGTGCACTAAAATAATAACTTAATTAGGTTATAAGCAACTTCAATTTCATAATATTATATTATTATAGGTCCTTTTAGTTTTTCGGTTCTTTTTCTTTATTTAGTAGCTGGTACCTAACCTATATAAATAAGGAGTTAAAATATTATTATATCAACTTTACGGATTAATTTATCCATGCGTCATTTGTAAGTAAAATTGTAAATATTACGAGAATTCGTGGACTGTACAATATTATAATATTACGTGTATCTCTGCGCAACTACCTTAACATATTATTCAATTTAATAAAGAGTAGTTTTTTAATATATAAGTATTAATAGATTTGGAAACTAAACAACTATAGTCAAAAATGTCCAAAATTTATATTGTTTAACGTAATAAAACTCGAAGGATCACATGAAAATTATATACTTATATTTTTCGAAATTAAAGAAAAACCATTAATTTTTACGCTTTGAATTCGATCGAGTAATTTATAAATGTATTTAAATTATCAACTGCATATAGAAATAACTACATTTTCTTATAAGATGTTTTGCTCAACATCCTAATACATTTATAATGTTTTTGTTGAATAAACCTAGTTTATATTTAAACTGATTTAAAAAATTACCATACTTTTTTATCAAGCACTAAATATTCTAAAGTTTTTACTAATTCCAAAGTTTAACTATAATAAAGTAACACACTAAACAATAAACATGCCAACTATATTAAAAATGGCCACTATAAAAGTATACAAAATCTGCATAACATATAAACATAAAAAATCTTCGAGTTTAATGTTTACGAATATAAATTTAAAAAAAGTAAATACACGAAGAGTGTATTATAATATAGATGCCTATACCTGTAATACATATCATAGACATAGATAATAACAATATATAAATAATAAGTATATAACCTAATTAATTCCGTTTAAAAAGTAAATTCAACATTAAATATTTTATTTTTTCTTTAATTTTAAAAAACCAAACACGTTTATAATAAACTTATATTACCAGTAAAGTGTGTACGAGCAAATTTTGAAGTATATTTTAATACATTTTGATTGTAATAATAGTTTGTTCATAGCTTACCTGAGCCAAAGTTACTACAATAATATTATGATAGTAGGATGTAGATATGAAAGATACAATGAATTTATTTTAACAGCATACTGTTGTAGCTAGGTTACCTACCTAGTACAAACGTTGTACATTTAATATTGCATATTGTTATTGTAACAAACAAGTTTTTTTTTTTATTGGTATTGTAAATATACGCCATACAGTTCAAAACGGAACAAATTCACTTTAATAGTAGTTTAGTAAAAAATAAGTATATTTTTTTTGAAAATTTGTCATTATCATAGATTAAATTCCATTTACTGCAGTAATGTAATAATGCTATATGGTTATAGGTTATAAATACTGAATTCAGGATAAATTTCAAAATATATTTTTTTTATTTTAGAAATCAGATGCTTTTAATTTATTTTCGTATATAGTTGTTAAAATTATATTTGAAAATAAATTTACTAACAAAATAATATTTATTTTAGCTATAAACATATTTTATTCAACATACCTATATATTAAATGTAAACAAAAATTTTAACTTTCAATAGTTGGTACCTATATTTAATTCAGATTTGAATAAGTATATTATAGTATAATAATAGTCCGATATATATATATATATATATATATATATATATTATTATGTATTTTAGGTGGGTTGCGAAACTATTACAGCCGAAAATCAAAGTCAAAATGTTAGAAAAGATTGAAATTAAATACACTTTGAAAATATATGGTATGCACACAGTTATTAACGAGACGTCGTGAAATGTTCAGTAGACATTTAAAAAACATCTTAACCACACAGCCAAACGAAATACTGATATATCAGAATATTTCAATCATTTTAATACGAATACAACGCGTTCTGAATGTGTGTAAATAGAATGTCTAATATATAACGATTTGTTTATTTATTTCTTAAATTACCAAACAAAATAAATTAAATATCGTAAACTGGCGATTTATCGGGGTATTTTTAGTGAACTTGATTGCTTAAAAAGTACCTGGATAAGTAAGCGTATACTTATTAAACACACTATTATACATACCTACAAATTATTTCTGGTCAATTAAAAATGATCCATGCATTTTTTTTTAAACTATAAGAAAAACACGAGTTTTATAATGTAAAATTCAGTACAACCCTTCAAAACAATTTTTTTTTTCCTATTTTGAACATGAAATTAGTATGCATTTGCATGCCTATCATCATACCTTTAATTCTATACTAAAAGTATGATAACATCATATCAAAAAACTATGATGGGCTAGAGAAACGTTTTTTTTTCCCTTAAGGTTTAAATTTAACCTTTCAAACTCTTTTTGAAGCCAAATTTAGTATGAAATTATCATGAATTTGCGTAACTATTGGATTTATATTCCTTTATGTTCTCACCCCATCAATTTTTTTTAAATAGGTCGATCTCTCTAGTAAAGCAGTAAATTTAGTGAGTATAAAATTATGGGATATTTCTAACTTATTAAGAAAAAAGATCTTTTATAGGAGAAAATTCGCTTCGAAATTCAATTGTACACTATCAAGTTTTCGTTAAGAAAAGAGTAGAAAATCGAAAATCTGTTGAAGATCTCAAAAAAAAGTCTACACATAAATAAAAAAAACTTTAGTATTATGTGAAATGTTTTTTTAAAATATTTAAAAAATATATTTGTATAATATAATATACTTAATTTTAAGATTATTTTAACATTTTATTATCAAAATCGTACTTCAATAGTTTATGTACTGAGAAATTAATTGGTATACACTTAATAAACATAATAAAGTGACATAAATGCGATAGTCGTGCAAATTGATATTAACCGTATGCTAAATATTGATATCGGAAAATATAAGAATTTTAAAAAAAAAAGATAATAATATATCCCATAGACCTTATAAGGTAAAAAGTCTATAAATATTACACACCCTCATATTTCACTTGAAAATAAAAATTATGAAAAAATAACAATGCCGATACAAATAATGTTCTTATCTATAAGTTTAATAATAGAGTTATTCACTCTAATATTAAAACAGCACAAAGTTATCCCTGATGGGCGAAAATATACTATGCGCGTGGTTGGATGACAGAGACAGCTCATGCAGATATGGCATCCTCTTAAACAATATTCCGTTTAAAAAATTCGCGTACGACAGCTTAACCATTGTTCTCTCTCACGGATCATTTATGTCATAAATTGTTTGGTGTTTTTTTTTTTTGTAAATTTATAATTTACTTGTAAATGTAAATAATTTTGTAACATATTTGTCGAGCATCACGATTTAGACTACTAAGTGACTGTAAGCAATTTTATTAACCAAATCAAATTATTAATTTTCAATCAAGTTACGAATTATTCAAATTTAAATATTACATAATATTGAAATAATTAACTATTGAAGTAAAATTAATGTACCTATGTATACATACATAAAACAATTTTCTTTCAATAGACAATAATTTAATATATAAAATATTAATTTTTAATTTAATATTATTACGATTATTTCAAAATGCTTTGTGGATAGTTTAGGAGTAAAAAATAAAAAAGGTGTTAGAAATTTAAAAAATAGCCCAAAAGATACCATAATGGAATTTAATGATTTAAAAACCAGAAATCAAATTCACATATCGTTCGGAAACATTGCTGCTTTACAAAAAAGGATCAACTTGTATTTATGAAAAAAAAAAATTGAATTTTTAACGTGAATATGTAGAAGATTTATAACGGAAATTCGGTAATCAGATGACTCGGATAGTTCGTTTAAGCTCCGAAAACAAAATATTAAAGTAGAACGAAACAATATCGTATTGAAGAATAGTTCAGACACAGTTATCGCGGATACTTGAAAAGTTTAGATATTTCATTTTGAGTAACAATTGTAAACGCTGTGACGTTATAATATATGAACTTAGAATTTATCTGGTACATATACAGAAAATAATAAATCATTATATTGTATATTATTTTCTTTATATTTATTAAAAATCTAGGCAAAAAAATAAAATAAAATATCTATACATTTTCGAAAGAAAAATATTTATTATTTATTCATGTTTCAAAAATAAAAGTGCTAATAAAACTTATTTGGATGTAAAAGGCTAAACAAATATTTTCGTTTTGTTTATTTAATATCGATGAAAATGATTGTTATGTTTTGTTAGGTACATTGCAGTTGTTATAATTTAAGTACAATATATTATACTGTAGTAGTGTTACTTTTGTAAATGAAAATAAGCTTTTGTCAGACCATCATAATATTGTTAAAAACGAGTAGATACTAAGGATGGGTGCGGCCACTGTTGTAGGTAGGTAATTGGGGAGGTGGGATACATTAAGGTATATTTAATTTATACACCTCTAACAAACGATAAATCATTTCTAACGAAAAACGATTTAGAGAGAAGTTCGGTTATACATATTTTGAAAGACCGTAATATTTACGATTTTCATTAAAATTCTTATAGAAAAAAAAAATACAACATTACAATATTCTTTTTTTTTTGCCACTAAGTATGACTTATAGTATTAACTATATCAACTATATTAACCCCCTGTCAAATTTGTAAGCATATCTGTTAATTCTAACAATTATATCAACAGAGTATCTTCCCAAATAAAAATTACGTAAAAACTCACAAAATATAAATGTCTAAATTAATAAATAGCTCAAAAATGGCTCAAATGGTTTGAACATTTTAGCATGTCTAGAAAAAGTAAATATACATTTTTGGTTTTGTTTGGTTATTAAAATATTACAAAGAAAACTAAAAAACGGCTACATTGTTCACCAACGAGATTAAAAAGTCAACACAAGAGATCGTTTGTTGTTTTTCTATTGGAGCAAAGTTTCTGGTAGAAAACGGAAAGCGTAACAATTTAAAATAATGAAATTTTAGTTTGAAAAAAAAATCGTACTTTTCATCTTTTGGTTTTTCCCAATTATGGGTAATTTTATCCTGAAATTCAACTACAAAGCATGATTTTCACTTCATTCAAAAATTGCTAAAAGAAAAAATAGAGGAATTTACGTATCCTTCATATTTTTTTTTGTTTATTTCTAAGTTATCTTGGTAAAACAGATGAAAAAAAAATAGTTATTATTGTTTATTATCTTTGTGTTGACCAATATATTTATTGACCATGTGCCAGTGCCAAATTGACGTGCATGTCACACGTGTCAATCTATATCAGTGTAAATTTTCGGTGACGCGCTATTATATATCATTATCATAAATACGAATAAGGCATTTTTAAATGTTCACGAAAATATGAAAGCTTGAGCACCAAATTTAAATTGTACGAACTTAAATATGGAAAACTGACTGTAATGTAAACAGATTTTACTCGAAACTTGTCATTAATCGTTATTTTCACATAAACATAATTATGAATATTAAATAATTTATGAGTAAATAAGGATTTGTAATCAGCTGTTGTGAAACTAAAATTACTAAAAATCGGTAAATTAAAACTTAATTCCTTCTAGAATCCCTTCCCATTTACTGTGACAATCGGATTGCTGGATTGCATAAACATTCTATAAAAACAGTTCGACCAACTATGATATAGGATCAATAAACCGTTAGATATTTATCAAAATCAAATTCAATAGCATCTTAATAATTCTAAGAAATTTATAAGACTGTCTCAGCTTAAAATGTTTACTTCTATAATTAAATTATAACATAAATTATTATTTATTACAGTAAAATAATAAATTAAAAGTAAAATTTTTACATGGTTAATTCTTGTAAATAAATATATAAATAAAAAATATATTTATTTTTTATTTTTATGTATACATTTTTTATTTATATATTTCTTTACTTTATTATTTATTTTTGTTAGTTACTATTAAACAATATTATTAATGATAAGTTATATTATGTAATATTTTTTTTTTTTTTGTATACGATATGTAAATCTTTGTTTTACTAAAATGTAACATTTGACTATCTATATTAATCACCATTATACTTATATTATTACAGTAATGAAGGTGTAAGGTTATAATAAAATATCCAGATGTATTTTATACTGCTAGGAACTCGACCGCATTAAACAAACTTTATAAAATAAAACATACAAATTATTCAAAGGTGTAATTCGGCCCAAAAAATTCGATTAAACTGTTTTTATTACGGATTAGGTAATATTAAAATCAATTCCGCTGTGCAATTTTAAATCTGAACCCATCTTCCTAAAATAATAAATCTAAACGTAAACAAAAATTTTAACATTTACTCTAAGGAGTGAAGGAAAGAAGTTAATTCGAGTACCGCTTGTTTAACTAGGAATGTTGCCGTATAAAATTGAGAAAATCAAATTCTATTAATATATCATCCCTACGTGTGAGTATTCGTGCATAATGGGGTTAGCGAAGGGCGAACATAAAATCCATTTATCACATTAATTTGACAATAATAAAATTATATTTTTAAGTTTGTTGTAGAGTTAAGATCTATTCTCATTTCTCACATGTTCAGAAAGGGTCTGAATCCATATTCGAGGAAAAAATTATCGTTCTAGAGTAGGGTGACCATAAGTCATGGTTTAATTGTCTTTTTTTTCAGATTTATGTTCTGTTGTCTTGACGAACTTCTTTTAGATTGCTTTTTGTCATGTTTTTTTATGTCGATGCTAATTATTGCGTATTAATTCTTATTTTTTCGTATTATTCGTATTTTATTTTTAAACAGACACAATTAATTTGTTGACAGGAATATTCCTTATAGATTATGACCATGATTGCGATTATATTCATGTAAAATAATAACCATAAGTATCTATACCGATGATAATACATCTAAGATATACGTCATACGGGTATATTTTAAATAGTTAATAATATAAGCATAATAATGAAAAATTAATAAAATAAAAAAAACTACAATAATTAATGAATGTTATTTTGAATGTGCAACTGAAATTATTCTGGCCTGTTTTTTAATTTTTTAAATATGATCACCCTAACCTAGACGATACATTTTCTTCGGAAGGTCCTTGCGGGTTAATGACTTTCCTTCTGAATTTAGCTTCATATTTTGATTTTCACATTGGGTGGTCAAACGCGAGTGGGGTATGAGAGGGATGTATTATACATTGCCCTTCATATGATGGGTGGGCGATCTATGTTTGGGTGAGTTTGTAAAAATTGTATTGTGTTTGAACAATTTTCACAATGCATTTGAGCGAGTGATTTTAAAATCTTGTAATATGTTAGAGTGACTTATAACATTTTATTTTCCTTCTCATTTTGACAACTTGGGAATATTTGTGAATTCCACGAGTATGGTTATACATTTTCAATCGAAGTAAATCGTTCATTTTGTTTTATAGAAATTCTCTCAAAGACATTTTTAGGAACCAAATACAGTGTTTTTATTATGTGGGAAAAAGGGTAAAGCGCCCAAACGTATGACTCCTCGATAGATGGGCCACTGTTGCAGGTGAGAAGTAGGGAAGGTAGGATATAGAAGGAAATTTAATACATTTTTGTATGCAACGATTAATCAATGCTAACGAAAAAGGATTCTTAGCGAAGTTCGGTTGTAAATGTTTTAAAAAGCCGTAATATTTGATATAGTAAAAAAATAAAAAAATAAACATCATTGTAATAAAATACATTCAACCAGAATTTAAAATATTGGTTCTAATAGTAAAAACCGGAAGTTTAAATTGAAATTACGAGTATTTAATTAATGCATTACGTTTTAAATACAAAAATATATGATTTCCAGTTCTAAAAAATAAAAGGTTTTAATTTTTTTCTCTTAGTATTAAGAACCCTTTAATTTAAACTAAAAATCGTTTTCGTTAATTAGTTACTTAATTACTTATACCTATATATAAAATTAATTCTTAATAGAGCTCTCAAGGTTCAAATGTAGACAATTAATTCGATTTCGTTTTGGTAATGATAATCATTATGTTTAGAGCATTAAGCTAAAACTAATAGAAAATAACATATTTAAAAAGTAGGTACTCTCTAGGATACAAAAGAAAAATATTATTAAACTACACAGAGCAGGTAAGTATATACTAATCAATTTATATAGTAAATATTTTTATGAAAAAAAATACCATCTTTAAAATATTGCAATGAGAATATTTCAAATATACAAGTTTAATATACGAGTATGGGGTTCATTTTAACCTTAAATACAGAAATTGATATTTATGATATCGAGTTTTGGAACACATACATATACCTACCTATTTTATCGGTATATTGGTTATTTGGTTATTTCGGGTTTAACGTTTGGATAAAAAAAAATCAACAATAAAATATAATAGTGATTCAATTTAAATTTAAATAATATTTTTTTTTTTGCTCAGACAACACTGACCCGAAATTTCACCCTTTTATCTGTAGGTATTCTATGATACAAATGATAATAATACATCTTCTCTTTTTTTCGTACTACTTCAATATAAATAGTAAAATAAATATTAAAAGATAATTGTATTAATTTTGAAGTATAACAAAATAATTTATTTAAGAAATATAAACAAAAGTTCTCAAAAACAAAATATACCTATATTATGTATTCAATATTCCCTGTATTTAAATCTACTTAAAAAAAGTAACTCAAATAAAAATGCGTTGTTATAATTCCTCTTCTTAGTCAGAATTCATTAAATCGAAGTAAAATACTATAAATATAAATAAAATAATTAAGTACCTACAAACCTACAAATTAAAAATAAATAGATAAGATGTTGGTGCGTGGACATTTGATTCCTGCGGTTTTAAGTCACTATAATTTTATATCCACGAGGTTCATATATAACAAATACACATAATGTCCTAATTCTAAAACCACCAGTTATGTGGTTATTAAATTATAAGCCATAAATCCAACGTCTGAACGTAAAACAGTTGAAAGTCGAGATAAAGGACTACGCAATAGCATTAATAAAAATAAATAGTTATATCATTTAACACACTAAAATGAAACAAAAATAATATTAACGTTGTAAACGAAAAATCGTCTTGTGAAATTATGGATAGGAAAGTTACACGGAAAATGTATAGAAAATGTATATACAAGTCCATGAAATACCGAGGGAATATTTTAAAAATATGTTTATATATTAACTATATGGGAAGAACAATGTCATTTTATTCAAGAGAAAAATAAAGAATCAAAACTTGAACAAAACAAAAATTAGATGCTTAAAAATACAATCTGAAGCTCTGTTTTGTAATCAACTAGACATTTAATTTGTATAGTAGATTATAATTGAACGAGTTTTGTAAAATATAATTTTGGTTTTAGTTATTTTTACAATGCAAAATAACTATAAACTGTTGAACTTAGTCACGTAACCGTGTTAAATGACAATAAATAAAATATTGGATCACTACCGTTTTTCTTGCAAAATATCCTTATGCAAATCGATGTATCGCGTCGCCTTTTATTATTATTATTATTCTGGTGACACCGAATGTCAAAAACGCCGGGCGAGTATAAAACACGATGTCACGTCATAATATCGATTCCTCAGAATATTGCGAAAATACTTAAGCATATACTTCTGCATTTAATATACTAAGAATAAATTGAAGACAAAATACACGTTTTGGAGATGCAAACAAAAATTCTTAAAAACATCGTCATTCGTAACCTCATTAATTTCAGAAACACACTGTATATTAAATTGTATTCATCAACAGTTTCAGAAAAATAATCCATTTAACAATTGCAACGTTATTTTTTTCTTATTATTATAATATATCGATATTAGTTTTAATTTAGATACAATAGAAATAGAATGAATGTTTATTAATTATGAATTAAATAATATAATTATGACTAAGTTTATAATGATTCTACCTTTATAATATGTGGTTTTTTTTTTCTCTAAATGTTATATTTCAAAATAATAATTTTACATCGAATAACATTTCTTGGCATTTCTTCTTCAAATTATTATTTTGTACCTATGGTACAATAAATAAGTGTCCACAAACATTTTAAAATATTATTATTATTAATTAGATAATTGTTTATACTTTACAATATTAAATCATATTTTTTCAAAGAAAATAATGTAATTTTCTTAATAACATTTCTACAAGTGCCCAACAACATAATTTAATAAGCTTTTTATGTATATCGTTTACAAAGTCATCATATGAAATTGCGTTAACATTTTATTGAAATGTTGAAATGTTGAGAATTAATAACGTTAAAAGTATAAAATTTAATTTTGTATAATTAATTTGGCGAAGTGTTTAATTTAAATTTTTTTTTTTATGATTTTTGGAACCCAAATATAATATAATTTTTGAACGTTTAATACAATTTGTAATATTTCTATCAAACGTTATTTTAATTATTTAATAAAAATTTAAAAACTAATTTTCAAATTAAAAAAATAATTCATTAAAGGTTTAATATTACAGCATAAAGAAAGTTGTTGGTTTTTTTTTTATAAACATTTAATACAGACAGTTCAATTTGCACTGTACATGTAGAAAAATAAAAATATATGTATCCCAACTATATTAATTTCCTAAAAAACATTTTTTTTATTTTAATAATATTTCTTCTAAATTTTAAACTAATAATAATTTTAGTTTTGGGCTTATAACGTAATGAACTACTAGAAAATAATATATTCTCACTTACCATTTGCTGGTCCGGTTGATTATAAATTTTTCAAATCTAAAAAATAATAATAATATCAAATTATTCAACTACTTTTATAAAGTGAACCTTAAAGTCTATAACCATAAAACTAGATATTATCAATATATACAGATGCTAAAGTGAAAATGTAAATACAATTTCAATAAAACAATAATATGTCATTATGTATAGCAATTAGTGCCACAGAGGTGATCACTGAAATACAATTTATTTGGTTTGGAACACAGTGGAAGAAAATAAATGCGATTAGATCATGCCAACCTACCTATTAGTCCAAACCTGATACTACTCCTAAGAAGTTTTAAATGTAAACCAATGGAAGAACCACATCAAATAGACCACGTACGTTACCCCACCTTAATCTACATTAGATTTCAATCTTTTGTCCTACGAAAACATGTGTTAGCACGAATTTACACGATTTTAGAATTTGTACGGCACCAAAAACTGTGTAATATACAAAAAAAACCTATTGGGAATCTGGAGCAACGCTGCTAGTTGCATACTAAATAATGGCATAAAAAATTCAATCCTTTAAGATGGCAGGTTGGATTAACGTAGGTGAATAGGTCACAAGAATTTACTGTAGGAGTTTAAGTTGGTGTAATTGATGTAAAGGTTTCCGAGTTCCCAATTAGTTCTTGTCTAAATTCACACCAAACGTAACTAAAAATATTTCTGTGAAATATACTCAGTTCAATCATAATATTTATACGTTTACAATTTATTATAATAATAATATGTACCTCTTTTTAATAAATACCAATTATTTAATAATTTGTTATTAGCTTAATATAAGAAACAGCTCCTAGCATTGTGTATGTAACGATAAGATAAGATATTTAAATGGATCGCTAGCATAAATTTAAAGAGACAAAATCATTATAAAAGTTTTAAAACGAATTAAGAAGTAAATATTTCTCCAAAGTTTGGAAATAGACTCTAATACTTTAATTGGTATGTAGGGATTAACAAGTTTAAATAACTATTAGGTATCTGTATGTTTATGTTAACCAACTAATAAAACAAAATAAACAAAATTCCAATTTAGCGTGCAGTTTAACATAATAAACTACTGTGCTGAAATAATTTTGAATTTAATCGATACATTAAATAAATTAAGTATTAGATTATCTTATATATTATTCATATACGATAGCTGCATAATTTTATAAACATTCATAAAATTTACATGAATATATAATCAATCAACAAGGTGATTTTTTCAATTATATTTTTTCATTCATTGTTTCCGAATATTAGATTCTAAGTGGAACGAGAAATGTATTGTTTTATAATTTTTTTTTTTCAGAAATTATACTCCGATTATCAAGTATAACACCTTTTCTGAAAGGAAATTTTCTCTAAGTAGGAATTTTAGATAGGTCATTTTTTGAAATTCTCATTAAAATTTGTGACTATGAGGAAAACCTAGGTCTTTAGGTTAAAGAATTAAAAATAAGGTTGTCATTAGCAACCGTTTTTATTTATTTTTTGTTATTATAAAGTTTTTATTATTTTAATTTTTTTTAAACAATCATTGTTATCATGGAAACGACCATTGTTTTAATCATTTTATTATAATATGACATGATACCATTTATTGTATTTTTGACATAGCAACATTATCAACTGAACTCGCCTCAGAATAGTTTTTTCGTTAGCAATGGTTTATCGTTGCTTACAAATATACATTAAATTCCAGTCTATAGCCTACCTTCCCAAATTTTCACCTACAACAGTAGCTGCACCCACGTGCGAATTATGTCTGTCTTTTTTTTTTAAATTTTATTTTCCTAAAATATATATGATAAACAAAAATTATTTTCATTCTTTTTAATATTTTTAAATTTTCTCGCCAAATTGAAAACCTTTATCGAAATTTGTTTGTTAAATAATTGTGAACTTTATTCTAAATTGTCAATTTATAATATTAAATGCCAAGTACAGATTTAATAATTATACATATTCGGGAAGCAAGTCATGAGTGATGGTAGAAGTTTGACGGATATAAGAAGTAGAATAGTCTGAATAGTGTAAGCAAAAAAATCTTTCTGTATAAATAAAGGAACCTCTTCTTTACATAGGTCAAGACAACTAAAAAATGCCAAGTATCTTTGAAATGCAATACTGTAGGATATGAACACAGAGAAATTTAAAAGAGTAAAAATAACGCTCGGGTGATGACAATAATCGAAAGGAGATTTGACGGAAAGATAGAAGGAGAAAGACGAAGACCGAAAACGACATTTATTAAGCAAGTGATAAAATAATACACCGGAATAAACATATATGCAAACAGAAGACTTAAACGAAGCATTTAACAAATCTTAGGATTGAAAAAAAGAACTACAATTAATACATATTTTGATATTTACCATGCATAAATTATTATATTGTAATAATCAAACGATAAATTATTACTTTCTTTTATAACGAACAATCAAATTTAGATAGAGATATTTGCTAAAACTGTAATTAATCAGCAGTATTAGTAATTTTACTAGGTTTGTACTGATACAATGTTTATAAGTTACAATATTATAAGGTATACCAACGCATTGTGTATTATTATTAATAACGATTGTTTTATTTTACGTTGGAATAAACCAATTTAATATTCACTTCAAACTTCAAAGCAGTTCAAGTTCACAGAATCATAATATAATATGTACGTGTACTAACTCTTATACTTCACGTAGGTAATGCGAAATGTCAAATGCTTTAAGTAGGATATAGATATTTAATTACCTATCTGTTTTATTGTATACAATCATGTGACAGTTTAAAAATATAAACGCCTAATGATGGGTTTTATGTTTACTTTTATTAATAATCGAGTAATTATATTAAGTGTTTCTAATCAAAATAGATACCTATCGAGTTAAAGTTATAACGTTAGAAATATGTTTCGTAGCGTCTTAATTTATATTATAAACATATATAATTCTGGTGTCAATATTTAATGTTTGTGTACGTGTCACTCGTATGCGAGTTTCTTATGATTTATAATACCGATAATAACGAAAGTTAGAGCCGACAGCAAACGAATACACAGAGATTCACTGAATACCTAACAGGGTTTTATTATCTCAATTATTATCCATGATGATTTTCCGCGAAAACCATCCCGTTAACTGAGGTACGATTTGCGAACATTTTGCATTTTATTTCTTTTCGTTTCTCAGAGACACGCTTCGTCAAACTAAAAGCACGACTTTTACAGTAGTTTACAAGAATATAGGTAGATACGTGTTTGTTTACAGACGTGACGAGTATGGAAAAAAAACCACACACACACACACACACACTCGTGATTGGCTGTCTCTCTTTACCTCTTCTATATGTATGTACATATATATATATATGGACACTATACAAAACCCCTGTGCAGACTGTGCGGCTCAATATCAAACACCGTATTGTCGATGACGTGTAAAGGGGAAACGAATGAAACGGGATTTCAATCTCTGTACGTGAGGAGCAGAAAAATGTAACGTCACCAATCTTATACCTACTTACCTAGCGCACTCGAAAACAGTTCCTATATGTACGACTAAGGCAACGACCAATATGAAACTAATAACATTATCGGCAAATGCACGACGAGGGTGCCTTACACGTCATCGTTATTTTTCCTCCTCTTTTTACTCCTCGTTTCGTTATTGTTGGACTATATATAGATCCGACTATTATTATGGCTATATTTTCGCATACGACTTTTGTCCTCATCTCCTCCTTTTAACCCGACGACGAGTACGGTCTGCCCGCCATATCCACTACATTGCACCGCCTCTACCACGGCTGAATACATAAGTCAGTATACGGTATATGCATACACTAAACACCTTCAGAATACTTGTCTATAGTCACGCGTTTTAGCATACGGAAAAAGCATAAAGCCCACTTATTATTATTATTCGAGAAAACCATACCGCGTGATAAACACAGTTCCTTACCGAAGGTTTATGTGAGCTCGGTTAGGTTTATAAAATTCGATTCATTAATTATATAGTTTACTACCTACGTAGTTTAATCGTAAAATAAAAATAAAAATTTGCATACCTGTAGTTAAAAATAAAAATTTAACAAGTTATTGGATATAAAGGATCGATAATTTTTAATTTAGTCGATTCAGTTTCAAACGGAAAACAATTATTTTCAAGAATGTTTGACTTTTTTAATTTTAAAATTAAAATATACCTATATCGGCTTTTGAATAAATAAAATAAAGTCACGAGTAACGTGGCAGTTACATACATTATGACCTTATCGATCGAGCGGTATAACCAATATCGGGAAACAAGTAAATTGTACGATTGTACTACGTGTGCGTAGACGAGATTTATGTCGGGTCTCATCAATAACACGCGGGTGGAAAAGGAGTAGTGCTATCGTTTGTAGAATCGTAAATTTCACCTTTTTTGGTTACCCCTTGTCAAAGGGATACAAAAGTTTTGGGCAAAGAAGGCGGCGGCGTGTGTGTCACTGTCGCCCGCACAGTGAACCGCAACAGCGACGGCGTATAGTAGCGGATCATAAATAACTCGAATCTTCCATCCACTCCTGCAGCCTATCGTCATTATTTTTCTGTAGTATGTCTGATTCCACTATATACTCTCGTTTTTAAATTCCGAGCAAACGAGCGAGAAAACTATTAGTTTTATGTGTTTGTTATTTTTACATTATTTTTTTTTTACTCGCAAAATATGCAAAATATGAAATAACAAACGTGACCAGAATAATGTTTCACAGATAGGTAATATTATGTAACATTAAAAATTGATACTTACCTTTTAAATATTTTCATAAATGCACGGAAAAATAGTAAACAATCTGGTGTTCGTTTGGTTTGAGTTTAATACCGATATGCATTTTTATTTCGATCGTTTAATACTTTGTTGTGCCAAAAAGTAATTGTTTATAAACCCAAAACGTAATTACATTAACGTGAGACTTAAATTAGTATACAAGTTTAATGAGCAATTTACGTGTTTTACATCATTGATAGTACTTGCCAAACAGTTTCTAAATTGCTAGCTTACGATTTTAGTAGACTAAACTAGAATTTAAAAAGAATAATATATTGTTATAATATACTAGAGACATAATATTTATGTTTATTATACATTTTTCTCGAATTCCCTCCGAATATGAAGACTGTCATATTCTATTGTGTCTGTCATATACTCGTAGTTTATATATTAGGGTACAGGCCTTTAATTATTTTAAATTTCTTAACCTCCCTTTTCTCCATGTTGTTACATGATACAAGAAAGTAACGTGTGTTGAATTTGGCAGCGATAGCTCTCTCATTTGTCACAAGGGAGTTTTTTTAATATTTTTCAATTTAATTCAAAAAATTTTATACTGCATTTATCGAAAAAATGTATTTAATGTTAATTATTAAACATACAAATAATGCCTAAAAATAATATTCTTACCTAGTTTTTCGTAAATCGATTATATTATAAAGTATACAATTTTTCGGCCAAATTTACTTTTATTTAGGTATTTATTTTAATATATTTGCCGAACGGTTGAACATACGATAAAGTATAATGCAAAGGAATTAAATAAAATATAATTTTTCATGTGAAAATATTTTCGGGCGCATCAGTTTAATTTAAATATTTATTATCTCTGAATCGTTTGGATTTTGTTTATGAATATTGTAAAAATTAAATTGTCCCAGTCGGTCTTCTCAAATTGTAATAAAAAGAAAAAAGAAAGTATAATATACTTTGTACTGTGGTTATTTACCGCAGTCTATTTGGATTCGAGCCAAACGAGAATATATCTGTTATCGTTTTCGATCTTTGATTGAACTTTTAAAAGGTAGGTATATCCGCCGGGTGCAGTTAATAGTCCGGTCAGAAATCCTGAATGTTATCGGCGAATGCGACGACGACACGACCCTAAAATCCGCCGAAACAACAATGTCCTTGTCGACCCTTTTGCCTCCGCGTTGGACCGTCGGAAGACTCCTGGAAAACGGGGTGACGGCCGGGTCGGCCAGGGGGATGTATGCGATCACCGCAGCAGTGTCGTCTCGAAGCCGATGCTGCCGGTGGCGGCCTCGTTTTAATTACCCACGCGGAGACCGCAAAACATGGGAATCGATCTCATCGCTGAGAACTATAAAGAGGGCAGGGTGTGTGCGATAGTATGAAGAAAACCCAGAAGGTTCTATTATTCACGAAGTAGCTAGGGAGGAGTGCAAGGCTACTACAATGTCGTTGGGTCCGGTAATTGATGATGCAGAGTACGCACCGTTACAAAAGATGATTTTTTATTTTTTTTTTCACTCACATACTCAAAATGTCGACGAAATGGGTTTAAGGGGTTTTTTCCACTATTCTGCGTGCTGGTTGCTAACAACATTATAATATCGTTTTAACGATTTTAGAATACTGTTGTTGAACTATATTTTTATTATTCTTTGCGGAACACAATTATTATTTCTCGAATTCGTTTGTCACCAGTACAAATACTGTAACAAATCGATCATAATTAAATGATCTCATAGTAATAACTAAAAAACATCAATATCAAATTCACAAACCTTTTATGGATTTGTAAAACTAAAAACCCCATATGGAATTTTCCGGAAATTTCCCTCGTTTATCACATCTCCGGAATGTGTTAAATGGTCATGATAAAACTAAAATTTCTCTCATAACTATTCGTACCTGAAATATAGAACAAAATTTATCGTTTACAAATTCAATGGATAAAATTAATTTATATAATTTATTTATTATCAGTGTTTTTTTTCGACGTTTGTTCGTAATATTTTCTATTAGATTTACCAGGGCTTATTAGGTGTTTGTAACAGTGATCATTTATATTAAAAACCCTAGAAAAACAAGAGTTTTGTGGGCTTTCTTACTTCTATATAACTAAAATTCGTATTACTGCTGATTTTATACAGACATGCCAAAGCTATTAAAACCATTAAATAATACGAAGTGTAGGTAATAATATAATTATATTTCAGCACACCGTTTTAACGGTCTTAATAGGTATTTGAAATGCATTTGACGTACATTAAAAAAAAAAACCGATTTTATTTTTAAGCCGTGTTTTAACGTGTAAACTTTGTAATGTTAAAATATTAGTTTGATAATTTAAATGAACTGTATCACGTAACATTTATAAGTTTTTATACACATGCATTATATTTGTTTTAAAAGTGGTATTTGAACATTAATTATAGGTAATTTATAGTAAATATTATCAATCGTAAACATTGTATACATAGAAACAAATAGGTATTATTATTTTAATTGTATTTATATTTATGTTTAAAAAAAAAAACATAAACAAATAACCAATGAATTTACAAAAAACTTTGCTGTTTTTCCTTTAATTGAATAATTAATACCTAGTATATACTATGATTTAAAACATTAATATTTAGATGACCAAATTAATTCTATGAATCATTTCAAACTATTGAGTATTGATTTTTTTTTCTTCCAAAGAAGTTTATTCGATATTGCGTTTGTCGGACATCATGGCTTCGTCAATTTTGTTTAGAAATTTGATAATAAAAAAAATGTACCAAAAATATTTGGGACATCTTTGTTATACATTTTATGACAAGGTACCCGTGGACATATTATAATACAAAAACTTGAGAAATTGATAGAATTTAGATTCGTATTAGAGACTAAGACGGCGGATGATGTGGTTATGGAAATTTAATTTCCCTCCGGGGGGATCAATTTTGTTTTCCATTCTCGCGTGTACAGAATATATATCATAAATTCAACTAAGCCATAAATTTAAACCCTCTTTTCACCGCTGAATATTATTATTATTTTTCCAACGATAATAATATGTTTTTATTTTACAGCGTAACCAACCACTAAAAAACTATAACACTCAAATCCACTGTTGTACGTTAAAAATTAATTTTAGTTCACCACATTTAATTACCAATGTACCTTATATATCAAATTTGCATTTGGATACAATAATAAACTAATCAAATTACTTTGATATCATTTTAATTGTTTTATTCATACGGTATTTGCTGTCCAACAAATTATATTTAATTAACTTTGGATCCTAATTCTATTTAGAGCTAATATAATTTTATCGATTTTAAATACAAATTATAGTATATCTCTGAATTAAAAAATAATTTATATAGTTTGAATCAATAAATTATAAGGTATAAGTGATGTATATACAAATGTATATTTTTGAGAAAGCTCTACATATTTTAATTTTCTTATTTTATTTATTAGTAAATGGGTATTATTCTATTTGATGTTAAATATTGTTAGCATTATTTTATAACTAATATCTACACTTTTTTATTATTTTTGTTTTTAGAACTTTAAATACAGTTAATCCAAAAGTTGTATGTATTTAATTTAGGAAGGGTTCAGCCTTAATTAAATTTTTATCTTAATCAGGTGATAGGATAATTATCTTCATAATTAGTAATATTTTTCCCGAGAATTTTTTCTTTAAATATGAAATAATAAAAGTAATTATTATGTGTACCTATTATATTTTTTTAATTAAAAGCTGTAAGATGTTGATGCATAAATACTAACTGAAAAATAAAGAAATTAATTAAAAAAAAAAAATATTTTAACCACCTTAAAATTTTGTTTACAACAATATTAGTATGTAAATAATATTATACTATAATAACAAATATATTACTCCTAGGGACATATTTATTTTATTTTTTTTTTTAAATTTCATAGAATTAAATCATTTTCTTAGGATTTTGGTATTCAGTTTTTTTTATATTATAAACGTCGCGTTTGAAACTTGCTTGAATATTTAGAATTTTCAGATGAATGTACGATAAGATCATAATTATAATACCTACCTAATTTAAAAAGTTAACAAAAGATGAGTTGGTATAAAGTAATGAAAACAAAACAAAATTAAAGAAAATTTAATAAAATAAAAAACAAACACAAAATAATGTGCCGAGGATTTTCACAAACAAGAAACCTGAAGCTATATTATAATATGTAGAAATAAGAGAAAGTTGGAAAATTTGGACTAGAATACTATTGAGAATATAGAAAAAAAAACATCTTTTAGGTACTAAATCACACAAGGCCATTTAAAAGTTAAACATAAATGAAGCATCAGTACGTCTATACGGTCTATACGGTGGTAGTAACCGAGAAGAGCATTTAATAATATGAATGCTGGTAGTGTGCAGGGGACAAACCAGACAAATCTTGCGAAATGAAACATAAAACATATATTATACACCGCTATACATGATCATACAGATAAACCATGTTAAAAGAAGGGAATGTAAAATAAATCTTGCGCGTGCCCCTCTCCGCCTGTACACTCCCTTTTAATAATAATTATTATTGTTCCAAAAACTAGAGGATACCCATTTCAGAGGTTTTTTTTTTTGTTTTGTACAGCTAATTTACAATCCAGTTCAGCCACACCTTCGAATGTTTTTATCTTAATGCATTCTATGTACTTAGTTTACTGGGCTGTTTTCACCAGAGATATATATTATATTATATAGAGGTACCTACAAGGTCATAATTTCTCGTTTTGAAAACATAATTTTTAAAAAGATTATAACGTCAGTAATTTACGCAAATTCGATTGCAAACTATTTTGTGACTAACTACAATTTAAATAAATTAAGAAAATCAAACGGATTTAGTGTGAAAAATAAATGAATAAATACAGAAAAGTATACCATTTTGATATTTATAGTTGACGAACCATTTAAAAGAATCAAAGCCCGAGATTTAAAATCCGAGTTTTACTTTCAAATCACACGCATTTAGTAATCCGAAAGTTGTAGGTATTATTTAAAATAAAAGAGATTATATAAAATTCAATTCCCCTCTAGCGACCATTTTATCTCATTGGATATAAAAAACATATATATATAAAAAAAAAACCGTTTCGGACAGTGCGGACTGCAGGGTAAACAAAAATGAATTTATAGAACTTCGTAATCCACGGATGTGCATAAATAATTAAATTCAGTTAAATATATACATGCCATCAGCATAAAAACCTCGATAAAAACTTTACTTATTAATAAAGTGTGGATTTGTATACAGGATTTGTACGCATTAGAGAGATGTAATACATTAGGTTTCCGGATCAATATTTGTTATTAAAAATCCTTAATTTTATTGTATTATCTTAAGATTGATTCTTATAATAATTATTAAAAATCACGGACTTGTCTAATTATAATGACAATATATGTACTGAATAAAAGAGAAAAAAAATAATATTATAACTAATTAGTTCTAAAAAAAAAAAAAAAATAATAACTAAAGAGATTTTACATTGAAAATAGATAGGTGCTGTGTCTTTTTCACGATTAAAATTATTCCCTGGAGTTAAAAATGTTTTAAAAGGAAATCATAAACATCAGTTATTCTATCAAACAACTTTAAATTCAAAAATGTAAAAATATTTCTTAATTAAATATTGACATTTTAAATGGTAGTTATTTTAAAACAAATGTAAAGGATTTTTTAATCAAAAAGTCTTAAATTGATCGCTATAAAATACAAATACCTAGTAAATATATAATATTATTAAAATAGTTTCACTACATAAAATATTCTTAAAATTCAGTTAATAGTTAAATAGTGAATATAAATTCCAATTGACTATGTAGTTATGGCAATGATATAATAATATTAATAAGTAATATTAAACTTTAATATTAGATTCTTGGAGAAACATTGAAGCTAATAAGCTTATATTATTATAGTTTTATAATGATGTGATTTTTAACAGGAAACATTTTTAGACCGTAATAAATACATCAACACCGAATATTGTTTGAAACAACAGATGATATATTATAATAGATGATAGCTTATTTTTGAAATGTCACAGTTTGATGACGACAAATTATATTAAATAATAATTAGATGAATACGCAGTTTGAGCTTAATTAAAAATATAAGAAATGTAACGGTATTGTCACATTCGAAAAACTATTTTGATGTGTTGCTTAAAATTAATATTTTTTTATAACGAGTCGAAGGAGAAAATAATCGGTTTTATATACATTATTGGCTAAAATCTATAATTAATTATATTAATTTAGTACCTATTATTTAGTTATTTAATATTTATAAAATATTTTTTATATAAGTTAAATATAAATTTATATAAATATAAGTTTCGTTGGGCAAAAATGAAACTGTATTGGCTTTTATTACGTGCTTATTATTTTTTTACATCGTACAAATTACTATGGAAAATCATATGACATTGCAGCAGTGTCCCGTTCTTTCATAAATAATGGGTCTATACAGGTTTATCAATATAACATAAGACACTTATTATCTCAGAAAGTATTTACTTATTTCGAAATTTGTTTTATAGAACATTTAAGAAACAAACTCTACAATTTTACATTTATGTTATTTTTTGTCACCATTATTTTTGAGTATAAAACCACTACCTACTTTTGATTTTCAAATTTAAAACTATAATAAAAATTTCATAAAAATATGGAGTATTTTGTATTATCCAAAATAAATTGTGGTGTTTAAATTTTTGATTTGCGTCGAATCGTTGACGAGATATTTCACTTTTAAGTTTTGGTCGAGGAAGAGTATAGTGGTGCATTATTAAAACGTCGCATGCCGTGCCACCACACAAATAATACTCTCACCCGACCCAAACTTATTAAAAGTGGAATATCTTGTCAACAGTTTGACGGAAATCAAAAATTTCAATACTAAAACGTATTTTAACTAATACTCCATCTATTTATAGAATTGTTAATATAGGTTGCTAACCCTCAAAAGTAAGAGTGACAAAAAAAAACAACAATGCTAAAATTATAGAGCTACTCGATTCTTAAATGTTCTATAACAACTTAACAACAATAACCTAACAAATTCCGAAAAAAAGTTCATACTTTCCGAGTTAATGAGTACGATAAATTGATAACCCTGTATAAGTTAAATTATT